TTGCTTCCCTGGCCACCTTGGCTTCCCTGGCCGCCCGAGCTGCTGCTGCCCTGGGGCGATCCACCATTTCCTTGGCCGCTGTTGCTCATGCCACCTCCAGTGCTTCCTTGACCGCTTGGACTGCCTTGGCCTTGGCCACCTTGGCTGCCCGAACCGCTGTTGCCCTGGCCGCTTGAGCCGCCTTTGCCTTGGCTGCCACCGCTCGTTCCACTGGTGGGACTTCCTTGACCGCCAGATCCTGGCATGCCCTGGCTGCCACCACTCATTCCACCGCTGGGGCTCCCTTGACTGCCAGAGCCTGACTTGCCCTGATCACCTCCGCCCATTCCGCTGCCGGAGCTTCCTTTGCCGCCAGAGCCTGACTTGCCCTGACCACCAGATCCGCTCTTGCCTTGGCCACCACTGCTCATTCCGCTTCCGGAGCCTCCTTGTCCGCCAGAACYACTTTTACCTCCGGAACCACCGCCAATTCCTGCGCATGATTAGCCTCAGCAGATTCATCGAGCAGCCCCGYCTTTGAGACGAGTAGATACTTACCGCCGTTGATGCCTCCTTCGAATGCACCCTTCGCGGCAGCAGCAGCTCCGAGTCCAGCATCAAAGAATTTCTTCGCAACATCGACCCCAGCATCGAATCCCGCTTTCGCATTACCACCGGCCATGCCGCCAGCGCCAGATTGACCGCCAGATCCGCCGCTACCCGACTTCCCAGCGCCAGACTGGCCACCGAATCCACTGCCACCGAAGCCACCACCCATTCCACCGCCAGATTTACCTCCGGAGCCTTGCTTTCCTTGGGAACCAGCACCAGATTTGCCGCCACCTCCGGACTGAGCACCAGCACCAGCACCAGCCATACCACTGCCCCCAACCTCGGCAGAAAACCCACCCTTGGCAGCGTCGAGAGCAGAATCGAAAACTTGATCGGCCGCCTTTCCAGCCTCGCTGAATGGTTTCGGTCCCGAATCACCTCCAGACCCACTACCATGTCCCGATCCGCCGAGACTAGCTTTTCCACCAAACTGTGCGTTGGCATTACCATTCACGCCACCTCCGCCAGAACCGCCGTTGCGAACGGAAAGCGAGTGGGTCTGATATTGTGTTAGAATATGGTTGTAGAATGCTGTTGCTGTTGTTTTACGAGACTGACCGTGCGTGAGAGATTGCCCATTGGAACTGTGAGGGCGCTAGCCGTGAGGGCTAGGGAGAAGAGAACGCCATAGGCAGGCATTGTGGCGGTGATCAAAGATGTCTTTTATACAATGACTTCAGATCTTTGCTTGAAGATGGGAGGAAAAGAAGAACTTGTCGCGAAAAGGATACAAGCAATCAGCGGAAAAGAACTGGAGCGAGTATGTGAAAGATTAAAAAGTGGTTGTTGGTTGAGAAGATGTAGTACATATATGCTGCAGTTCTTCGCCCCCCTGGACTTCATGTTTCAGCAGGCCGTTTTTTCAGCAGGTGCGTGGACAACTCATCTAGACCTTGCCTGTGTGACTCGTGGTGTAGATACAAACGTTCAACATGACAAGAGAGCTCTTGGCTGTTTGTCAACTTGCACAATAATGTGGTGATGTCTGTCGTGGTGAAGGAACTTCCCGTCACGGAATGGGCCGTTTGGGTATGACTCGTTATACTTGCTCAAGATTCTTAACCTCCATGGTCGTGCGACGAGGGATGTTGAATCATGATTGCAGTTGAGTTAACTCCTCCAAGGTGTCTCTGGATTGCGATGTACATACTGGCATTGAGATGCCATGGTCATTGCCATGACAAGAAAGACTGGAAAAACGGTCTTGATGTGACGTAGACTACCTCCAAGTCCGAATCATGTGGTGACGACATTTTGGTGGCGAGGTAGTTGTAATTCTTGTAGGGTGAAGTCCAAATTGTAGAGTCTGCTGTAGAGCGTATGTGATTTTAGAAAGCTTGAGACGTGGAGAAGCATTTCTGCCAAGACGCCAACACGTTCGAGGGAAGTGAAGGGACTTGTATTGAGCAATGAACCGAAGCTAGGTATTCTGCACTAGCATCGCCCGAGTGTACTCCTCCGGTGCGTAGACCTCAGCCGTGTTTTCCTTCCCCGAACGATGGATGATCGCGATCAAAACCCGTTCAGCGGCGCGAGTCGCAAAGCTAAATTCACCACTCGCAAATGGTGAGCTGTATAGCTCTGAATCATGTCAATAAGTACCAAAACTCAACAGATCTACACGCCTGGCCGAACATATCGTAGTAGGTTGAGCAGGCAGGTTTCAGATGTATGCCCGTTTTCTGTTGCTCGACGGAGCAGCAGGGAAAGATGTTGGGAATGATGTCAATCAAGGAGCAGATACTCTGGTCGGTCTCGATTTGATCTTGTTCAGATCTATGACCGAGATATGCCTCTTGTGGCGTGGAAGGGGAGAGCGTCCTTGTTGTGCGTCTGATCCAGATAATATGTCCGGAATGAAGGTTTCCTTTATTGGTCGACGAGATCCGAACCCGACCCTCTGATTATCACGACCATTGTAGTGTCGGAGCCGGGTGGATATGGCTGAAAGAAACTAGTGCTGGCATGGAGCAAGTAACGGACGAGCACATCCATAGATTGGGAATGGTTGAACAATGGCCGATTTTACTTTCGCATCCCAAATTTTGGCATACTGCTCCCTGAAATCCCTCACCTCGGAGATCTTTCCGTCACCTCCTCATAGCACCCTTAACAACATCCTTGAACCTCCCACAAGAACCCACACCCCTTACTCCCCTTCTCCTTCAACACCCCTCTCAGATCATCATCTTCCATAACCCAACATCAGACCTCCGCCCCTCCCTTCGCAGAAAAGGTTCAAAGCACCATCGATCTTCAAAATAAAAAAACCTCTCTAGTCATCTTGCCGGTCAAAGTCGCTGACGTGCAACTCAAAATCGCAGCAAGTGGAAATCACGCAGCAAAGACCGTACATAGCTAAGAAATAACCTCCGATCCTGTTGGCTTGATGTTAAAGTTATGGTTGGACGTTGAACAAGTGTACGTTGAGGACGCATGATTTGCATATGATCTTCATGATGTTTTTTATTGAGGTTACCTTATGGATATCGTGGCGGTGACATTGGATATGATGGTCTTTTCTCTTTTGATCGGGAGGACTACGAGATATGTCGTGGCGATGTCTTGATGATTGATGTTGATGTAGCATTATGGATCATGGATGGATTTGCCGGTGATCAGGAGTGGAAGTTGGTCGCGAGTAAGGTGGAATTGCTTGCGAGTAATGCTGCGAGTGGAAGTTGATTGGATCATTGTTGATCGCCTATCATGCCTTTTGGGAGATCTTCAAGTATATTTGAAAATGCTCGTAGAGGTGCCGCGAAGCTTCCCGTGGAGTGGTTCATGGGTTTGTGATTGATAGGAATGTCCTTGGCAGCGAAGGAGCAATGTTAGCAACTAAGGTTCATCTATATACTTCTGCATATAAAGGCAAAAGCTAATCATGTGAATAGGCTCTTGGGATTTGCCGAAAGCCGTTGGCTTGCATGTCTATACTTTCGGTGTTGGAGACTGCCGAGAATGACGCAGCAAGACCAAGTGATGTGAGACCGCAAGAATCTGCTGGTTTTTGTCGATATTGATGCACAACGCAACGAGGTAGAGATACCCACTGGGAGCTCGGCATTGTTGATAATTGCTCTGCATCTTGTAAGGATAGAGAAACACGCCAAAACGCCGCGCTCAAATTCAAAGCCGACGAGAAGTGCACGCTCAAATTCAACGCCAACGAACGGTAAAGCCAACGAAGAATGCACGCTCAAATGCTTACAACTCCCCTTTACTCCGGCCCATTCCCATCACGCCCATGACACCCTTGGCGATGAGCCCACCAACGACCTCGCCGCCGGCTTTCTTGCCCTCTTTGCTCTGGCCGGCGAGGATGGCGAATCGCAAGAAGACTTCGGTAAGAGTGACCAAGATACTCAGCATGATGAGAACGATGATGATCCATGTTATCCTCGTCATCTTCACATCTGCGATGGAGTCGGAGAGAATCTCCGCGAGATCCAGAAATACTCGACAACGCTCGTTGAGAACTTGAATGCGCGGCTTAATCTCCAGGTACTCCCGCACAGCTGCGTAAAGGGGGTGAAGGGTTGGCTCGGAATCCCAGAAGAAGTTGGGAGTGTCCAGCATGTTACTTGCTGTGATGGGATGGTCAGTGAATGAGGATGGTGATCAGCATGGTAGTACTCACAAAGATTGACATCCACCCTCCCCTCGAACAGCTTGCCCACCAAGCTGACAATCTCTTTCCGGTCCATGCCGAGCCTTCCCTCCAATGCGAGCTGCCTTGGGACATACTGTGCGCTCTCCATCGTCTTTTGCATTCGCTCTTCAAAGTAGGAGAGTTTGGTCGACTGTCCAATCGCATGCGACATGGCGAGCTTGATGAAGTGATCACTAGTCCTCAACGTAATCATGTCGTTGTATATCCGTGGTTTGTCGGCTTGGTCGTCGTATTGAAAGTGGAACTCTTCCGTTTCGAAATCGCTTTCGTCGAGAGGCCGCGTCATCAGAGGAAGATTGCTGGGAGGAGCGAGCGCCGCAGCTTTTTGAGAGAGATGATGCGGAATGTGCTTGCCGACGGCCGGCATTGCAGATGCGGAAGAAAAGGTGAGGTCTGCCAGGAGATCGCGCTCCTGGTTCTGGGTGAAGTTCCACAGCACGGCGACACCATAGCTGAAGATGAAGAGCTCGGCCACGGTGTGTGCATTCGGGTTGATGCCGGCGGAATGGGCGGGGGAGGGAAAGGAAAAGGCCGACTCATCACTGACGCTCTCCCTCCTGCCGGCCTCCCGCTCGTCGGCCCAGGCATCGGCAATCTCCCTCATGCGGTTCGACTCGGCTTCGTGCCGCTCGCCTTCCATGACGCTGGCTTCGGGAGGCGGCGAGGCGTGATAGGGCGAGGAATTACCACGCACCGAGTACTCCTCGCTCTCCTCACCCCACCCTTCGCGGTACTGACGCCTCTCGTTGGCCTCGATCTGCTCGTCCAACACGCTGCGGCCGCCGGGGTGCTTGATGACAGGACTACTGCGCACGCGATACCCATCGCTGCCGCCGAGGAGGGGGAGCTGGTAGACACAATACAGACAATCGTCGTACAGTTTCGTCTTGGCGCCGTGTTGATCGCGGACAAAGGCGGCCGTGGTGCGCAGCTTGTAGTTCTGTGCCGTGCAATACGCCGTCACCCGCGCCAGCTGCGGATCGGCGATGCGCTGCGATTTGGGCAGCCTCTCCGCCTCACTCTTCCCGCCCTTGCCCGGTAGTTTCCGCCTCCGCAGCTCATCGTCTCTGGGAGGGGCGCTGTCATCCTCGTCCTCGAAGCCATCCTCGTCCGCCTCCTCACTGGTCTCGGGGAGGAGCACCAACTTCTCGCTGGTTTTACTGCTACGCGCGGGAATGTGAGCGCCGCTGAGGGGAATGCCCTTGCCGCTTAGCTTGGGATCGAGAGGATGTCGGCCCGAGGGGGTGCGGTTGTGGTTGAGAGGGCGGGCATGCGGCGTGACTCGGCGCTGGGCAGAGGGGATTTCCGAGGCATATTGGAGCACATTGTCGACCGAGATGATGCGCGTGCCGGTGCGCGGCGGGGCAGAGGGGCGGAGGATGGGCTTGATCTCGCGCGAGTCGGTGACCTGGCATGGGGTGAGCATCACCATCACCATTCATTCTATCCTCACACAAGACTGTTGATGGTTTGCGCCTTTTTGCGTTTCTTACGTACCAGCACAGTGGGAAGTCGCTTTTGTGGCCGTGATCCTGCGACGGACATGACTGTAGCTTGATCGGGTTGACTCGTCGGTTGTCAGAGATGTCGCGGTGCTTGAATCACCCACCACTGCAAGCGATTGAATGCACAATGGCCCAGGATGTTGTCTCAAGTCCAGGCAACTCCAACTCCGTCCATGCATGTTGCCCGATCGTCATCGTGCCGTACCGCGCCGACATTCAAGATGCGCTAAAATGAAGCTTGGACACTTTCTCAAACTCTACCATGAAGTACATGCATACCACATGGCATATCCACCACCCACACTTACCAAACAATAACAGGTACCATCCATCCATCTCAATCCCATACATGACGTKTACCTCTATTGATTGAGACTGGGATACTGCGGGAATCAATGGACGTGGCAAGCACGACATCCCCATGCATGGCGCCTTCTCCATAGCGCCCTCTCTCGCAACTTCCCATCGCATCGCATCGCATCCGATCCTCCTCCCATCATCCCGTAATAGATTCCCCAATCATAGGTAGGTAGCAACAAGCAATAGCACGAGGCGCTCTTTCTTCCATCCCACACACACTCTCCTTCTCATCTCATCTCTCGGGCATCATCTCCATATCTCCTTTCCAACATCTGCACATGCAGCCTACTTCCTCCCTTATCGGCCGACATCATCACGATTAACCCCACGGCCATGGCATCAGTCCTGTCATTGACGGCAAGCGGCCCTCTTGGAATCGGCTCTCTTGGAAACGATGCCGCCGGCCGATCATGTTCTTCCGTCGCCAGCATCGGATCCAGTGGCACGGTACATCATCATCGACTACGAAGCATCTCCACAACCTCTCTATCCTTGGTCGGATCGTGCTTCCGCAAAAATCGAGCATTTTGCAGGCGAACCGACAGTTCAGATACACCACACTCGGCATCGTCTCTTATTCTCAACCTCAATCTCAACATGGGCAAGATTCGCTCTACGCTGGACCGATATAGTGACCCTGCCGCCACTCCGAAAAGGTCGAGTCTCGCATCCTCATCCAGCGGGCATGGTCGGTCCCCATACTGTTCCTCTCCACCGCCAGGTGAGGGRGCAAATCTGGCAGATGTTGCTGAAGGGCAGGATGAAACAACCAAACGTATGATGGACTTGATCCGAATAGAGCAGGGTTTGCCAAATTTCATACTACCTCTTTGTGCAGCACCGCCTCTTTCTGCTGCCGTTGAAGACCCGCAATCAGTCTCCGCTCCGGCCAGCTCTTCTCGTCAAGGACCGGCCTTCTCCAGGTGGCTCAGTACATTGCGCAAGAAGCGGCACAGTCAATCTCAACCGCAGGAAGAGCAGGGATCACCTCAAGATCTTCATCACAAGAATCGTTTACCAGAGTCCAAGACTGGGCACGGCCACATCAAATCAGACTCCCAAGGATCGTCACTTGGTTTTGTCACTGCGGTCAAGTCCGCCACGGCCACGCTGGCGAGTGCAAGCATTGCAACGGTTTCTCGAACAGCTTCCAAATGGCGTCGTGGTCAGCAGCGCTCCAGTCTGATTTCGGGCTCGGATCATCGTCCATCTGTGGATAGTCAGTGTTCTGTGTACGACGCGGCGGCCATGGAGAGGGAAAGGAAGCGACGGGCGAAGCTGGAAGAGCTGATACGAACGGAGGAGAATTATGTTGCTGATCTGAAGGCTCTCAATGATGTATGTTGTAGTGGGTATACTCTCCTCGGCGGTTTGCTAATCGACCAAAACAGGCATACTTTACGATCCTCAGCCACCAGCCGACTTCTACCAGCTTTGCGAGACGGTCTGCACAGAGGACCGTCGCGGAGATTCTTGACCTTCATGATGGCATATTGGGTCGCCTCCATGAAGCTGTACCATTCTCAGAATATGATCAGCGTATCGCCCGTATCCCGCCGACCGTTCGCACACACAATCGGTGGCACAGTGTTGATGTTGTCCCGGTGCGAACTACCCCTACGCGGTCGACGCTTGCCACGATTCGCCAAGGGCGGCGATCCCTCAATCTCAGTCGGTCGACGGAGGAAGAGCCGGCTGTGATGCGCTGCAGTCCAGCTACTGTAGTCGCCGTCGTCCGCATCTTTGCCTCCAACGTAGGATCGATCCATATATTGACGACATGATGATGCTAAAGCGAAATCTTACAGATGGCTCGATTTTCTGTGTATGAAGACTACGGAGCCAACTATGATCTGGTGCTGCAGGATGTYGACGAAACCCAACACGCCATTGCCGGCTGGGCCGACTTCGACAAGGCGATTGAAGCAATTTCAGCCCATGTCAATCCCACGAGAACACGGGAGGCGAATCGAAAGAGGGCCATGACAGTGAAAGACCTGTTGATAAAGGTGAGAATGGATTGGCAGTTGTCTGAGCGTGGCTGATGATCCTCACAGCCAATTCAACGACTACCCCGATACGAGCTACTGTTCAGCGACCTGAGTACTCTCACACCAGCCTGTGACGAGCCCACCTTCCATGCTGAGATTGATGATGTTCGTGCGGCGTTCAATGAAAAGTCTATCCTCATGAATGAAGCGAAGAAGAACCCCGCCCATGCAAGAATAATGGAAACGACATKGCTGATTGGCGATCGCTTGACGTTTTCAACCAGCCAACTGCCAAAGTCGGTCTTTTTGCAGCTACTCGGCCCAGTGTCCCTCTGCGGCTGCCTACACATTGCATATCGCAGCAAAGATCATCGTATCAAGGGATTCTACGTCATTTCGATCTTGTTTGGAACGAGTCTGCTGCTTGCCTCATCGGACGATGATCAATCAAGATACAGCGTTCTTGCAGGCATCACTCTGGTCAATGCAACAGTCGAGGAGACTGACAACAACAAAGGCTTACAATGCCATACAGCTCCCCATTCGTGGAAGATTGTATTCGAGCAGAGTGCCAAGATGTACGAGCTCATCTTCACGGCTTGCTCGGCAGTGGAGGCTGATGCGTGGCGGGCATACATTGCTAGCGGGATTGAAGCGCAGACACAGCTCGTGGCGGATGGCAAGATGCACCCGGTGGCTCTCTCATCTCCTCTGATACTCGACATGAAAAGCATGGGCAAGGCTTTTGGCAAGCCATCGAGTTTTGTCCGCCGCATGCCAGTCCGGGCGGCCACCGTAGGCCCGACGACAGATTTGAGTCAGGTCATCATCGCGAACACTCAGTCATTCAAGGAGGCTCAAGAGTATAGATCGCAGGCATCCTTGCAGATCCCACGTTCCCAATCCGTGGCCACTCCAAGCCACGTGCACACGCTGGCTCCTCGACGCTGCGACAGACACCGCCTGGAAATCATTCTTGCTGATGTTTGGACAAGAGACCAGCTTCCTTATCCAGGAATGATCAGGCGAACGGATCCTATACGGGCTTCTGCAAATCATGTCATACGCAAGTTCAGCATGGCGAGCATTACCAGCAACTTCTCATCCTCGAAAAGGAACGGAAGCCACACCAGCATTAGCTCCTGGCGTAAGGAGGAGGTGCCGCCGCTCCGCAGCAGAGCCAGTGGTCGGGATACTACAAGCAGCTCCATCAGTTCGAGGCAATCTAGGGTGCCAGTGGTCAATTTCCACACGGCGCCTGATGCCTTCTTACCGGCGGACTTTGATATCACTGCGGGTCCGCCCAAGAAGAAGAAGTCGGCGCTGAGGACATTTACAATGACCATAGAACGGCCATTTTCACCATTGATGGAGAGTGAAAATGTTCAGTCGGGAGTGAGGAGGGCTGAAAGTGTACGTGATGCCGTGGTTGATGCCTTTTCACGACCGGCTTGGTCACCTACGCCGATCCATCAAAGAGACATGAAGCCGCCGGTATACAGCACGGTGCACGAGGGGAGAAAGGGGCCTGCGAAGTTGCATGTCAAGGAGGGAAGTGAAGAGACTGTGGTGGGCGGGTCGGACCTCGGAGGGCCGGACTTGAGAGGGCCGCGCAAGACCAGGAGTAGGCTGTTCGGGAAGCTTTTTGGATAGGATTTGGATTGATGAAAGACGGGATGAGCGATTGGCCGATCGTGTTGTGGGAGAATGGGAGAGACTGTTTTGGATGGACCAATGCTTGGGTTGGCTTGGGAATGGAACGGCCGTGAAGACGGATACATTGATTATAGCATGTATACATCATGCGGTTCTTTGCCATTCGAAATGTATTCTTCCGCCAGTACGAGCTTAAGCACTCCAGCTCTCAGGAATCAATGATCACATCCATTTAACGAGAAGCATCCGCTTTGTTGAGGCTTTGTTCGTCAAGATGTGGACGTTTGAGACGAGTCACGAGGCAGACAGGATCGAGATACTGTGAGAATGCATTTCTCGAGTTCTGATTCCTAACTGCACGTAGTGAGTTTCGTCTGCAATAGATAGTAAGAGTAAAGTCCTTTACAGCCGCGAGCTGCTCCCGAACGATTTGAGAAGTAACATCATGCAGCCAGCTGCAAACACCACAATCAAACGCTCCTCATGAGTACGTCGCCTTGACCCGAGCGGCATCCGTCGCAAAAACTTTCCAATCCGCTTGCACATTGGCCAGATTTCCCCCCGCTACATAGAATCCCGTGTCTTTCGGGCCCTCTTGTCCAGGCTCCTCAACCAGGATGAACCGGTCAATACCCCGAGCTGTCTTCATATCTGAAGTGACGTTTTCATGAAATATGCAGATATTCAATGCTAGGATACCCACGAGTGTCCATGCCCCGATGGGGAAAGTAGTTGAGTAGTGGGTGTCTGTGAGGAGTGAAAGGGCGAAGAAAGCCATGGGTGAAAAGGAGATCAAGTCCATAGTCGGTCCATGTCTCCTTGCTAATCTCTGGACGATCATTGTCGTTCCTGCTTTTCCCATTGCCAGGCCGATGATCAGTAAGGTGGGGATTGGTTGCAGAGTTAAGAGGCCGTTCATGAAGCATGATATTGTTCCTGTGCAAATGATCGAGAAGGTCATCAAAGGCCATAGCGTGAGAGGGGTGCGGGGGATGGCCACTCCGTTGGTTTCGAGGGGCGTTTTTAACACATTCAATGCTACGAGCATATTCGATGTGAAAGACACCAGCATGGCGGTTCCCGTTGCGAGACCCACTAGATCTCGAACACGGATCGTGGGGCTCTCAAAGATGATCTTGTCCCAGATTGCTGAACCTCCTCCTCCCGTAGCAGCAGAGACAAGTTGCATGGCGATCATACTCCATTGTGCTTCCGTCACGTCGACACGGCCGAAAATCAACGAGTTGGTGCTGTGAGCTGCCCAGTGCGCGGCGAAGAAGGCGGATAAACCCACCATGAGATTCAGACCGAGTAGTACTGGGGAGTCTCCTAGTTGTAATGCAGCGGCTAGCATCACTGCATTCAGGGACACGGAGATGGAATCTACGGCGTGGTCGGCGTATTCTTCCACTTCGCTGTTTTGTGTTCGATAGGATTGTTTGCCGTCGATTGCGTCGAATGTCTGGTAGAGGCTAGTATCATATATCATCAGCGTCATGTCTGGATAGTTGGGAAGTATACACCCAAACCTACAAGATGCTGATGGCATTGATCACACACACCCAACCAGGTAAGGGCTCCGTCAAAGTCGGCGCTGCGAAGGCTGTGATGCTCGTGGCTACAACGTTGCAGACTAGACCGCTGATCGACAACGTAGACGGCGCCACCCAAAGTGGCACGAAAGTAACGACCCATCTCCAGAATCTGCATATTAGGTCAGCATCAGTGGATGTAATTTTTTGTTTCAACGGAGAATGAGGCGAGGGAATTTCATACGGCTGCATGTATGGGTCGAGCATCGTGTTTGACCAGGCATTGTAGTGGTATTCGCGGTGTCGCATGGCAAGCATCTCTTCGCGGGTCAAGTAGTGACCGTCTTGCTGGATGTCAGGTAGCATGGTGAAGAGGAACGGTTCGGAATCGTAGGTTTGAATGTTGATGTTTGGAAGAGTGAGCTTGTTGAGTGACGAATTGTCGTTTTGGGGAGGTGGGAGAATTACCTTATGTGATGAGGATGTCCTGTGGTGTGAGGTTGTTTGGTGAAGTGAAGTCGTTCGGCTGGAGGAGGCCGGTAGTACGGCGCGTTTTTAAGAACAACTCTGCAACAATCCTTTTAGGCGATAGTGCGACGCTAGCATTATAAGGTATTAGAACCTCGGTAATTAAAGGTGTATTCCGTACAATAAGTAACAAGTAGCGTAATTTAATATACGCGTGTAATATCCTCGCTTTCCTTCTTTAAAGTAATTTTATTTAAGTCTACGATACCTAAGTAATAATAGTAAGGATAAAGTAAAGGTATAATAGCATTACGCGGGTAGCTATATAACTCTTTATATAGGTAAGTAAGATCTTTAAAAGAGTAGTAGGATAAAGACCTACTACTTTTTTAGCGACTCTTATTAATACCTAAATACTAATATTAATACCTACTACTCCTACTACTATACTATCCCTTTACTACTTACCTATATCCTCCTCCCTCCTCTATACTACCCGTATAAAAGCCTAAGAAGGCGAAGAAGCCTAAGTTACTATACCTATAGCTAGGTTATATCGATACTATAAAATACTARAGGGCTAGAACTTTCCCTAAGGATCCGGATAATAATAGCGAATACGGATATTTTAAGTAGAACTTTATAAGAGTATAAGCTAGGAATTTAATACTTTAAGAGTAGCGCTAACCCGTATAATAGCTTAAGAAAATAGGATTCTCCCTTAACCGCGAGTAGAGGGAGATAATAGCTAAGCCTACTACTAAGCACGTCGAGATCTATAATAGCTTTACTAATAGGATCGATAATATCCGAGATCGTCCGAACTACGTCGACGCCTTTCTAGTTACGAGCCGGTCTATATAATCCTATTAGAGAATTATCGAAGTATACCGGCTAATAATATCGTAGTAGAACGGTATACCTCGACGAGATAGTAGTAGATAGTAATAGAGAAGAAATAGGAACGGATAAGCGGTGCGAGCGGTATTAGAATAGCGATAGGAACTTCTAAGTATATTTCCTACCCGTATAAAGGTATACGATACTAACGGGAATAGAGCTATATAATCTAGAAGAAGAACTTCTATAATGTCTATAGTAACTATAAGTTTTATAATTAGGCTTATAGCTACGACCGTAGGGACTTACTTAATCGCTAGGATAGAGATTAGGTACGGCCGAAGCGTAGTATATCGTAGGTAACGAGATCTAGGCGTACTAGTAGTTGCTAGAGAATAGGGATAGTAGAGTACTAGTAATAGGGCTTAATTAGGGTAGAGGGTAGTTTTTAGAGAGGTAATTAGGGCGTTAAGGGTATTTAGGGAAGGAGGGAATCTCTTTTAAGTTCTTTATACTAGCGGCTTTAAGCGTTAGGAGTTTCTAATAGGTTACGAGGGCCTTAATTATAGCACTTAAAAACTACTTTTAAAATATATTTTCTATTTTATAATTACTTACTTCTATACCTAAAATATAACTCCTTCTTGCTTTATACGTTCGTATAATTTGTCCCTATAAATATCCTACGATTTATATTACTATCGCTCTATATTAAAGAAATATACTACCCTAACCCTAACCCTATAGTTTTTAGCAAAGTTTTCGCTAAGGTTTATAACCTCTTACTACGCTAATTCCTTTCCCGTCTACCCTCTACCCTATTATATATATATTCTATATAATAGGCCGCTCCCCTTCTATTCCCTCTAATCTTTATCTAAAAGTCGTTAAACTCTAGAATAATAATACGAGTATTACCGACATCTAAACCTTCCTCTATTTATAATAGCTATATACCTCCGAACGGACTATCCGTATAATCGTCGTAGAGAACGGTAGCGAACCCTAATAGTCGTTAAAGAATAGTCTTTA